CACGCTTGGCTGACGACCGAATTCAGCATGCGGCCCACCCACTAAATTGACTCTCACGAACGTGCGGCTCACGCGAAGGGGCTCGCCGATTTTCTCAAACGGGTGCGCTTCGATGCTCTCCCTGAAACAAGATGCGTCTTACCACCGGAGTCACAAGCGTTCGTGTCCAGCGACGTGGGTTGCTACATAACCGCGACGAGCAGGTAGACAATCGCAACGCAGTCCTTGAGTTTGGGTCCTTGGCGTGACGCGAATCCGTTGATTGTCCTGTGAAGTTTGGTATAGAGAAAGGCTCCCTGGTATTTCTGAAGAGATATAGCGTGCTTACCCTTCACTCCGCCCTTGTTCTGACATTGAAAATGAGACGAGGCTTATTAAGACGTATACATGCTCGGTGCAATCGTTCATCGTACGTTATGCCAGAAAGGGTTTAATTGGACTGTTGTTCTTTGTACTACGACACAGAAGCCATTTTGAAGGAAGGGAAGGGGGGGGGGGGGGAGGGAGTAGCGTCACAAGCTTGTCTGACGGGGACGACGGAAAGAAGCCCCCTTCTACGCCTTTAGGAACGCATACCTTAGCAGCGCCAAAAACCCACTGCATTTGGAGTTAAACATGTACGTGTTGCACTACAAGAGGGAATTATTTGCTTAAACTTCCAAGCTTTGGTAGCAGCAGCAACTCACTCTCTCTTTTTTTTTTCTTCTTTTAGATGTGTTTCACGAGAGGTTGGTCGCTAGGTGTGTTTCCAGGTGCCCCTTTTCTCCTGCATAATGGTCTTGCATCGTAAAGTCGCCAATTAGCGGAAAACGAAACAAGATCTACACATGGGCACTCCCATTCCTAATCCCGCAATAATATAATTCTCCACGCAGCATCAATGTTCACACGTCACAGGTTTTCACCCACCCGAAACATCCACGCTTTACAGGAGTTGATCTCGGAGGTCACACAACAGTGACTGGGCCCGCACAATAAACACAGATGTCACGAAACAAATAATATCAACGAAACACACACACACACACACACACACACACACACACACACACACACACACACATGAGGAACTGATGGGAACTATTGAAGTTATAATATAGGGACAAATAACGCTGAACACGGCATGGCGAAAGAACCACAGACGAAGAAGCAGAGCTGACAAAAACTGGTTTGTATCTGGGATATGCAATATACGTATGCGAAGCTTCGTGTAGAATAACGACAAAAACACAGAAACACGCCGAGAACCCTTTTCTTTTTTTCCGTTTTCCTTCTCAGTCAATGTGTTAATCCCTCCTTCTACCCATCTGAAATGTTTCTGGACTTCATCGCGTCCACTGTCATGGATCAGCGATTACGGTGCTTGGCAGCTAACTCGGAGGTCGCGGGTTCGATTCCGGCCGCGGCGGTCACATTTTGATAGAGGCGCAATGGTAAAGACCCCTGTACAGTGCTATTTCAGCGCACGTTAAAGAACACCAGATAGTCGAAATTTCCGAATCCCTCCAATACAGCGCCCCTTGTAATCATATCATTGTTTTAGGACGTAATTTCCTCATATTATTATTATTATTATTATTATTATTATTATTATTATTATTATTATTATTATTATTATTATTATTATTATTCTCACCAAATCTTGCACTGCCTCCTGAAGGCGGCCTACCTTTGGCCAAGTGGTGATGTCGTGTAATGACGTCCTCTTGTGACGTAACATTGTGTGACGTCATGGCGACTTCGTAAGCTTTGGCAAAATGTGATGACATGTGGTAAAGTCGTTGCGTGGTGATTTTTTTAAACAGCGAATCTGTTTAAGCCAGCCATAAAAACTTTGGTGTGTATTAATAATCATCATGACGGGTATGCACCACATAAATCGAGCAAATGCCACCACTCATCCCTGGTCACATGAAGAATGCAGCAGACGGGCAGCAAACACCAATTAATATTTCTGCACAGACGTAACTGTTACTGAGAAAGTATTTAATGAACAATCTAGATTGACAAACTGATAAACAAAGTGGAAGCACTTTTCAGCTTTTCTGAAGCATATGTACGGAGTGCTTCAAGGGTACGTACAACGAAAGAATACAAAGGAACGGAAAAGGCGATGGCGACCGCGAGAAGACCCCGATGATATGGAAGTCCTCCGTGCAACACGACATGTCCTGTAAATCTATTGGAGGTGCAAACGCGGGGTTTCAGTGCGAGTATCCGTCCCTGGAGTTCGGACATCCATGACGGGTCTGGGACTCTGGTCCTAACTCGGATTTTTCTGTGCTGAGAAGCAACGTAGAAACAACCTGAATCCCGTAGCTAAAGCCTAGGAACAGCCTAGAAGAAACCATATTCGACTTCAGAATCGTCGAGCTTCGCTGTTTCAAACCTTGCGCGATTTAGTGCAAGCCTCGCTTTTTTTTTTTTTCATCACTCGTGTTGACGCCTCCGCCGACGCCACCGGTCCATTATTCTCGTGGATGTGGCATTCAAAGCTATTGTTATTGAGACGGTCGTCTCATAATAACAATGTGCAGCAATATTAACGACAGCAACAACGCAACACAGGCAGCAAGAACACCAACCCAGATAGCTGTGTAGACTCAGTCGCGAGGTATCCAGAGGCTCTGGGACGCCTTGATGACTCCGCTCCCGTAGAGGCTGCCTTCCTGCAATTACGAAAGACGCGTGGTCTGACGCGTGTCTTATGACTGCGATTACAGTCTCGGCTGTCTCTGACGCAACGGAAGGATTTCGCACGCAACTCGGCGACCACTCCGAGCCAGCACGCGTAGCAGGAGTCCTATAGTTTCCTCCAGTATTTACTAGAGGGAACTCTGGCGCTGATATCGTTCAGCCACTATGGGAATGATGGGTAGTTCCATGAATCTGCCGATTCTTCGTGCTTGCAGGCTTCGGAAGCGCTTGTGAGCTTGTTTATTGTTGTGTTTTGGTTTTATTTTGAATAAAATAACGGACCGTCGGGAACTTCGTGAGCTGATTTGAACTGGGGAGCCTAAAAAGGTCAAGGTCGGGAAGCGTAACTGCGCAACCTGCGCTGAATTTCGTCTTGTGTCAAAGCGGATTCAGGTCCCACGAAGCCAAACGGAACCAGCAGAACGAATCCGTGTACTACACATCCTTTACATTCTCGCTGATGCTCCGTGCATTGCAGCTATAATAAAGTTAAAGCGTTACAGCTATAATAGACACTAGCGCCATCTAGTACATTTATTGGAAACTCTATGGCAGGAGCGGCGTGAAACAAAGCGTGTTTCTTGGCGATGTTTCATCCATTGAAAACGCGCTTTCGAATCACACCGACTTCGGTGACCTGACGGCACGATAACTTGTGAGATATCAGATAAAGGCCCACGAAACTTGATAGACGTGTTCATTTGCCTTTGTTTAATTTTACCACATCATCATCAGGCTAGCTTTTTCGCTTTGGTCTCGCCGCACCGTAAAACAAGCATCGCCCGTGATTGCACATCAAGCACACGCACCGGTAGCAGTTGCAAATGGGAAAGAGAGGGATAGAAAGTGAGAAATGAAATGCGAAGGCGTTGACTCTACACAATCGGTTACATTGCAGCGCACGACATAGATTGGCTAGAAGAGATAAGGAGGGAAGAAGATAGCATAGGAAAAGCATTTCACCGTATAAGACCGAATAATGTAAATCATTTACGCAACCGCCCACTTAACACAACAATTATTAACAAAAATACAACAACCAATCGCCACCAAATCAAGTGGGATCCTCAGCATATACTGCATGACAAAGTGAACGGAGGTCGCCCAGTCCACTATTCACATGTGTCTTTGTAAACATCTGGTAGGGGGCCCCAATTGTTCAATATCAACGAGGCTTAGATAACAGGTGGAGGATGTTGCTAAAGCCACCCATGAAACGCGTTTCAAGACGGAGCTTGTTGAACACTGCTGGACAACGGGGCATAGTTTTGACTTAAACAACGCGACGACGCCAGCTCGGAAACGCAGGTGAGGAAAAAGGAAAATCCCGAAATACTGGTTCATCCACCGTGACACACCTTCTTGCAATAACGACCCCAACCCGCTATATTAGAGGTTTACAGGGATGGATGTGGCTAGGGAACTGGGCGGCCTCCGCTAATCTGTTGACGATGTATACGGCGGATGCTACCATGTGCGCGGCGAAATGTCATTGTTGTTTTGTTCATACGTGTGTTAAGTCGGAGGGAAGCATTTACGATCAGTTATTCAACAGGCTTTCGGAACAATTTTGCAAGATCTATTAAGGCCACTACCCTTCACGACCACAGATTTTCGCTTTTCACCACAGCGTTTCATCACTCGTGTTTCCGAACACGCTCAATTATCATGCTACATTAGGCCTTCCGCCTCAATAAAGGACAGCAACCTTGTTGCGGGCCACTGCGACATAAGGCCGGGGAATAAGGACAACAGGGTGACGCCGCCAGACGACATAGAAACCTTGTCGTGAGACAGCTCATCATTTCATAATGTCGCACGCACGTCAAAAAACAAATGCGCAAAAGTGCCGCGAAAGAAGAAAAAAGAAAACAGTACATCGCTGTAACAGCGGAATCCTCTGACACGACAGACGGGGATCAAAGGTGGCAAAGCCGCGTTGTGGCTTCATTCGGGATAAAAAAAAGAAAACATTGTGGCCAGCGCTGCTCTAGGACACTCGGGCAGTCTTGTCGTGGTATAAACAGTGAGCGATCGTAGCTGTAGGAACTGTCGCGTATTTTCTTATACCGTAAAGCCAACACCGCTCCGTCAGACCCCGATGGGCGAGAAAGCGTGACCCCCGGGAATGTTGCGGAAGCTCCTTCCGAGTCGCCTTCGGCGACATCCTTCTCCGCTGCTTGTTTCCAAATCGCTCACTCGTCGACTATAGCCTAAAATATCGTGCAGTGGTGGTGAGGTGCGACAGTCTCTCCCCCGTAGCTCCCGCGCACGCTTATAAGAACACCAGCTCCGATCAAACGCTTAGCAATCCACTCTTCACGCAGTACTACACTACAACTTCGTATCACCAGCGGAAACTATAGTTCGCACCTCAGTATTTCCTTCAAATAGAGCAGCGGAGCTCCAGTCAAAATGGTGAGTGTGCTTATTGCTCGCAGTATAGTATACGGAAAAGAAATTATTAGTCGCATCGTGATAGCACGCACTGACTTTCTTCGCTATTTAGGAAAACTAAACTAAAGAGTAAAAGACAATTACTTACTATTGCTGTTTTTACGTCCCAGAACGACGATATCATCATGAGAGACGCCTTTATTAGAGGGTTCCGGTAATTTCGACCACCCTGAGTTTTTTGATGGGCACATAAATCTAAGCACACGGAGCTCTACCATTCTCTCTCTATCGAAAAAAAAATGGGGGCCACCTCGGCGGTGATTCGATCCTGCGACCTTCCTGTCAGGACTCAAGCGCCACAACCACTGGGTCATCGTGGCGGGTAAACTAGAATGAATGGCTCAAGAAAGCACTACATTTATAAACTTTATATTTCCTGTTGATTAGCAACGATCCCAAGCGTTGACATACTGTTGATAAAGTAACGCTTGAGGAGGTATGCCTAGGAGGACAATATATGAATCGGTTCTGTTAGTATCAAGCTCAGGCAGGTTCTGTTAGGTTAGCTTGGCAGCGTAAGGCTGCCTTACGTGAAAATCTGTATGCTTACGCATTTGGTACTCGTTTTAGGGATTCGTTTACATTTTATTTGTGTCTTGTAGCTGCTTATATCGATTCTATCTCTATTCGTGTGTGTTGGTCTAAATTCTTTATTATTGATTAACTCCTATGTAACTATTACTAGATGAAGACGTGACGGTATGAGATCATAAAGCAGCAAATGTATCTAGAGAAAAGTTTTGAAAGAAGGAATGTCTTCATGTTGGTGAACACAAGTTCTCTTGTCAAACCTTTGGTTCCAGTCTTCAACGATTTCTCAATGCATCGTACGTAGCGTGTTTTACAGCTTCATTTTCTTTTTTATTTTATTTATTTTTTTCGCTTCTGAAATTTCGCTGCCGGCAGCACTTCATAACAAAGTGGGGTAAATAAATACCTCCACCTCGCAGAAGACCTCCCTGACACTGCTGGCGCTGGTATTCATCGCGTCCCACGTTCCAATCGCACACGGCGGCCCCGTGCCACTCTACGCGGCACCCTTAGTTGCTGTGGCACCCACCGTTCTGGCAGCACCGTCTGCCGTCTCCTACGCGTACACTCACCGGGTCCACGCACCGCTGGCCGCCGCCTACCCTCTGCAATACGTCATCGGTGAGTGACTGCTCGTGACTCTATTTCATTCGCGCGAAATTCGAAAGTAATTTCGCCAAGAAAGAATTGACCAGGTCCGCTTCGCTGACACAGATGAAACAGTGAAGTTGGTGGCGGTCCCTTGGTCAGGCCAACTCATTTCTATATTTTTCACGTCTTTCGTATGTCTTGTATCACTCGCCTTCATTAAACACTCTTTGTTAAGCATTGGGGTGGTAGTACAGCCACCATCTTTTATAGACACAGTATCACGTGACAGTGGCGGGCTAACTTTTGCCTATTTACTTATTTATTTATTTTATTTATTTATTTATCACATATTGCGGACCAAGTATGTTCCATGCAGGAGAGGGCAATACAGTTCAAAATTCTTCTACATACATTCACTTCCGCTGCAGTATACATTCACTGCAGAACAAAATTCATGTACATTAAAAATTCGTGAAAAACAAGGGACAAATACAGGCAAAGAAGCAGACTTAAGCGACAAGAAAAGGGAATAGTTTCATCTCGGCGTGTCGAGCATAGGGGAATCATGGGGCAGAGCATTCCAATCAGAGACAGTTCTCGGGAAAAATGAATACTTGTAAATGTTAGTGCGTGCAAATATAGGTGTAATGCTACGACTATGTTTATGGCGTGAAGCCCTGGTTGTGTCCTGTGTTATGTAATCTGGTGCATGCAATCCTGATCTGGAAAAGTATAAAAGGCGGAAAAAGTTAAGCCGTGCAGTTTTCCTTCGATCGGCCAAAAGTTGAAGGTTCGCATCCTGCAACAGGGCTGACGGCGAATCGTGACATCTATACCGGTTGTATATAAATCAAGCAGCTAATCGTTGTATTTTTTCTATTTTCTGTATTTTACCAGCTGTGTGGGTGTCCCACACAATGCTGGCATATTCAAGAGAGGGACGAACTACGATTTAGTGGAAGTTGTGTGTAGTGGAACTTACCGAATCTCTGTGGCACGTTATCTGGTAGCGATAGTTTTCTGATATGCCGCACAGATTTATCCGCGACACACACCCGTCTGTTGGGCTAACTGTTGCATTTAATTTTTAGTGCACCAGTGGGGGGTAATGGTACTTACCCGATGTCCACGGTGCATACCCGTTCATGACGCCCAAAGCGTACCACGGGTCCCGGAAGCGACTGGCTCGACCAATAATGGATTCGCTGTTAAAACACCCGGCCTGCGCGAAAAACACGGCTCGGTTACAGCGAAAGCAGGAGAAGCAGCCTGTCTAGTGAACTTCGGTAGTGTTTGCTGGCAGGTTAGTCGGCAGTGCACAGCTCATAGGCAATATATCGCAAAAAAAAAAACATAACGAGATACAGAAAAGACACAGGACAGCACTCTGTCCTGTGTCATCCCCTCATCTTGTTACGTTCGTTTTGATTTACTTATGAATGAACCTTATCTAGTGCTCGTTGTAAACTCTCTTGGGTAGATTACTGCAATTACAGTTGCAAAGTATTCACTATACCATAAATCGTCATAGTGCTGGTAAGTGGATGAGTATGTGTAATACGCCATTATTCAGCATTCTGCGGAGAAACGGGCTATCGGCCGTAACGCAACTGTAGAACGTTGCGTGCACTTTCTTGATGCTGCTGCTGCATAGGTCGACGAACTTACTCATGAGTCGACTAGCTCGGACTAAGGTCGTGCCGTGAGTCAGAGTCTGAACGAGTCCTGGTGAGTAATATTTTAGATAGTTTGAGTCCGGAGTGATTCAGGATGAAGAAATTTTTCCTGGGTGCAAGTCTGAGTGAAGCCGGTTGGGGAAAATCGATCAGTTTAAAGCATAAGGCAGATGTCTAGGGTGAGTCTGAGGGAGCTCCACAATTTTTCGTCGACCTATGGCTGCGGTTGATAACGATGAAGAATTGTGGCTCAGCCTTTTGAAATGTGTGGAGAGCTTTAAGTCGTCCACTCGTCTACGCAGTTCGCATCGTGTGACGCCTGATGTTATGTTTCCTTTTATCGCGCTATATTACAGGTCAATAAGGGTAACTAACTGAATTCCCAGAGAAGGCAAGCGGTTTAGGGGGAGACAGAAGGTTAGGTGGGCAGATGAGATTAAGAAGTTTGCGGGTTTAAATTGGCAGCAGAAAGCACAGCACCGAGTTAACTGGCGGAACATGGGAGAGGCCTTTGTCCTGCAGTGGACGCAGTCAAGCTGATGATGATGATGACGGCTGTCAACGTCTTCCCTCGCTCCTCATGATGCCATTATAGGGTCTTCTTGCGAAAGAGTTTCAAGCACCGGTGTGCTTCTGTGATCGGATACTCTAGTACCACGTGAGGGCATAAGTTTGTATCCCACTTGATCCTAAACCTGGATGTTCGTTTATTTAGTTTTTTTTTTCCTCTCGTCTTAGTGCGCGATAGCGGTCACAGACATGGGATGCGGCAGCCGGCAACTAAGCCACCAAAACTGATTGTTGTTACCTCACAACAAATTTGGTTGTAAAATCAAGAAAGGGGCAAACAGAAGGAAGACCATGAAGTAGGGCTAAGGCCCGTATTCATAAACCAAACTTACCTCGTTTTTATGAAAAATTCATAAACCAAGCTCTCGTTTTCCTTACCAGTTTTGTGCGTTCGGTGCGTTTGACCAACAAAATTGGCAGGTATTTACAAATCAGTGTTGCAGATATCTCTTACCCTGTTGTCATTTTTGGAACGTAACGCACATGTAGTGCACCGAAACCTAATGAAATCACAAATAACAGCAAGATTGGTTTTTGATTGCGGAGCTAAAAGAACCAACTAAGGAGCAGACAAACGCGGCCCACTTTGTGGTTCGGTCTTCACCACTGTTATACCCTCAAGTTCTGAAATGCGCTAAACAGCTGAAATCAACTCGCTACGGCCTCCACGCGTGGTTCCACGGTGGGTTACGCAAAAGTCCATTCTCTCTGATTCGTAATAGCAGCACCAGTTGACCAAAAACGAGCTGTAACGGTAAGCCAACACTGTGTTCCCCCTTACAAAGATTTAAAAGGTGCCCATCCCTGCTTTGTTTTTGTTGTAAACATTGTTCGCATTTGTACGCATCAAATAAAAATATAGCAACATTTAAACAAAACATTCAGGGACTTCCTAACAGATCAGCTCACGAGTTTGTCAATATCACTGCAATCCCTGAATATTATCTATATCATGAGTTATAAGACGGTAACTTCAGATGTACGTACGAAACACTTAATTTTTTATATAGCGATTCAGCAGGTGTTCTATTCCTTCTATACCTGTGTCTGGACAGAGCTGTGCACGTGCGATCTCTGTAAGTATATTTAGGTGTGATGTTCTACTCGGTGGCTTTCGAAGCAAGTTATCTTGGTGTTTCTGGGGCTTTCTTTAAACTACCACTGCTGCTGGCCCACTTAGTAAGCTATCCACTTAACTGTAAAAAAAACTTGACAGGGCTGTTTCTTTACATTGTTAATGTGCAAGTACCACTTTTACTTATTAAATATGCTCTTTATTGATCAGTCGCTAACCTTTTCTTTTTTTCTCTCGTAGGATGAATGTGAAATGACGAGGACATAAAGAAAGTATGACGAGTCCTGCTCAACAGTCTGAGGACGCAGTGATGGCGTGAATAAAGAGATGGTGTGCTCCACTGGTGGCCTTGGATCGCTCATCGATGAGGTTAACGACGTATAGGACGAAATCATGTCAGAAAAGCATCTCTGTGACGCGATCGAATTGACTACATTGCTTCAATACTAGAGGTTTTGTGAGACTAGTCACTTGTTAATAAATTTCTTGCTTTCACATATTTGTTGTTCAATGACATATTGCTAGATTATGCGTATTAGAGAACTTTTGAATGGAAATTAAAAAAAAGGAGTTCACACGTCATTCACCTAAACGTCTTGCTGAAAGAAGAAAGAACACAGTCAAAAGTTGCACTGGAGTGTACATACATGCTACTATGCACACGACGACAAGGAGTGTTCACACCATGGGCGCTACCATGCGGACTCGACTCCACGTTGCCCGGTGCTACTACGGTCATCGCAACGACGGTAGTCGTGAGTGCTGTCACCGAGAGCTCGGTAGAGCGCGAGTGAACTGCGCTGAGTATTAAGACTGAGACTTTCGTCTAACGGGGAACGAACTTTATTGTAGGCTTTCTATCTGGTTAACCATGCATCGTCATGATGTTTTCTCGAGTGCCATCTTGTCCTCGTTGGATATAAAGATCGACTTTTTTTATTTATATGATATATAAGGAGATGTTGGCGCATAAGTATGGCGCTGGCTACTCCTTAGCCCTTGAGTGAAACTTGAACACGTATCTTGAAGTAAAACATACAAAGCAGTGCATGGAAAATAGAACAACCGGGCACAAATATGCAAAAACACACTTATATACGCACATATGACTAAATGATAAGTAAATGTTCGAAATTCAACAAATGAAGTCACTGATAATGTCCCTCGTTAATATTCGATCCCATCAGCACAAAACAGTGTGCTTGTGAGGCTGTCTTGAGTGCGTCCAATCACCCGGTCCCATTGAATAATACCCGTTACTCATTACAACTATATGCACTCAGTACGTAATGGGAACACTAACCTCATTGAGGATTAAGGTTTTTCGTTTTTCCGCCCCACGTGACGGGGATGGACTAAGCGAGAGGCGGGTGGTCGCCCCTCTCGATGATCTGACGGGGTATGGTAAGAGGGCAAAGTCTGTTCTGTGCTTTTAATAATCGTATTTGTCCCGTCATTAATTAAAGGGCCGAGCTATGCGGGTATTCGTTGACAATAGCGGTCGAAGAGTCCGCCTCGGTGGATAAGTGGCTATGGGGCGCTCGGCTGTTGACCCGAAGGTCGCGAGTTCGATTCCGGCCGTGACCGTCGTATTTTGATGGAGGAGAAATGGAAGAGCGGCCCATGTACTGTGCAGAGTCAGTGCGTGTTAACAGACGCCAGGAGGTCAAAGTTACCTCAGTATTTTACTATATGGCGTCGCTGATTATCATACCATGGTCTTGGGACGTAAAACCCCACATATTAGTCATTAATAGCGGTCAAATACCACAGATTCCGTATTCCAAGAACTGTTTGCATCCTATTTTTCCTTCGAGAAAACCAAGATCCAAAGGCAGTCCATTGTGGGAAGCAGGTCATGGCTTCATTTAACATTCTTTGTTCACCTATTGCAATATATTCTATCGTTCGAAACTCGACGAACGTGAGTGGGGCGGAAGGGGTAGCTGCGATGAAAATTGATCTCCTCCCCCGCTCCCTTCCCGAATGGTAATTTGGAGTCCTGCACACAACTATGATGGTGCTTGTTTCATACACTAGGTGTTCGCGTAACCCATGATGTAAGGCAAACTAGTGTTTCTAAAGATGTACGGTCACGCTCAGTACGAGTTGCAACACGCTGTATACGGGATCAAAATAGCGCCAACACTACCAAACGGCACCTGCATAGAAAAATAAATAGCGAATCACTCTGTCTCGCTTAGTGGTACTTCCTGAACCAAATGCTCAGGCTGGCGCTCAGTTTGAGCGCAGCCAGCGTGTTTCAACTCATACTGACGGGTTCAAAAGTGACATCATTTTGTTTTTCTTAATATAACAACTGGCATGCGCAATAGCTCGAGACAACCACGTCATGTCCCGACGAATCTGGTCTAATACTGTGGTTCTGGTCTACTGTGATCTACTGGCTCTATAATCTACTCGTTCGAGTAGACATTACGCCAATGTGACTCGAACTTAATGCAGTGGGAACGAAAGTATGTGCGCTACTTAGTCCTCAATAGTCTCTTTTCAATGCTAGAGTCCTTTATTTATTTATTTACAAGATACTGCAGGCATGGAGCCCAAGCAGGAATGGTACAGGCAGTAAGGCAACCAAGCCAAGCATCACACAGCATACAATAATCCAATCGTCACACACATACAACAATAATGCAACCAAGCTTATCATAACAGCAATGAATTAACTGGGATTGCGAGAATCGCATTTTTTTATTTATCAAAAGAAAGGGAAAGTAACATGGCACTAAATGTAAGCAATCAAAAAAAAAGGATCAGTGGATAATAAAACTGCAAATCATTTTTACATTCTCAGGAAAACATGTGCGTCAATATAATCTGTCTTTATATAGTTCCTGTAATGCCACTAAGTGAATCGTATGCGCAGCATCATTGTTGAGGTTGAGGAACGTTCATAAGCGCAGCACGTCGTTGTCAAGAAACCTTAATCGACTTTCGGGAGCCTCCAGCTTTACAACTGAGGTCATCATTTTTTTGCCACTGCCTGGAGTGCGTGATGTCTTTTCACTCCTGCATAATAAAAAACGGGCCATCAGCACGCGAAGGATTTCGCGCTTGACCTTCGGATGGCGGACGATCGGGTGGCCGTGCAGCACAAAGGTGTCGTAGAAGAAAAAAAAAAGCGTTTTATGCACAACCATGCCCATAAAGATCTTCCCAGGCGCCTGCCTCCCTGATAAGCCTCCTTGGGCACTTCACAAACCAGGAGAAGGCGGTGCAGTGCCATCGTCTTCGAGGCCGTAGACACACTGCACAGCATGTATCGGTATCCGTGCAACTAAAACCGTGCACTGTAACGGGATCTCGATTCGGCGTCACCAAACAAGTGGCCGTACTGAAGTTGAAAAGATCGAGGTAGCCCTTGCTAAAGCAAATCCTGCTAGTCACGAAAAAGTTCGTCGAATTTCTTCATAACGTTTGTACGCACTCTCAAAAGAACTTCTATACGGTTTTTATCATTCTTAGTGTGTCTGTTACCACAGTAAATGAGTTGTATATTCTTGATAACATTGCTCCGCTTCACAGACCATATTCTTCCAGTCTAAGACACTTGCTTTGCACTTGCGATCATTCCTACTGCATGCATATAAATAATAATAATAATAATAATAATAATAATAATAATAATAATAATAATAATAATAATAATAATAATAATAATAATAATAATAATAATAATAATATAAGACGTGATAGATCTACTTCAAAGTAAATGTGGTCTGTCCACATAGCGTTGGGCTCCTGGCCAAAAGTGCGAGAGTTCGATGGCAGCTGTAATAGCCATATTTCCATGGAGGCAAAATCATACAGCCCTGCGCGCTGTGTGACGTCAGCACACGTTACAGAAACCTCTGACGGTCGAAATTTTATAGCTCTCCGCTATGGTGTGCCTCTCAATCAAATACTTGTTTCTGCACGCAAAACCTTCGAATTTATTGTTATATTAGTGGTTGCTCTAAGCGTATGTAATGCAATACTGGCAAATTCAGAACTTTTCAAATGCCGATAGTTATAGCGCGAGAACAAAACGACGACACAGAGACAAGAAGGACACGAAAGACCTTCTTGTCTCTGTGTCGTCGTTTTGTTCTCGCGCTATAACTATCGTCATGCCATACCAACTAGCCCAAGCTGCCACATTTCTAAGTTACATTTTCAAATGCGCTACACCCACAACTCGTGCGCTTAAGTTGAACACTCTGTTTGCGCAAGTACTCGGCTGCTGACCCGCAGGGCGCGGGTTCGGATCCCGGCTGCGGCGGCTGCATTTCTGATGGAGGCGGAAATGTTGTAGGCCCGTGTGCTCAGATTTGGGTGCACGTTAAAGAACCCCAGGTGGTCTAAATTTCCGGAGCCCTCCACTACGGCGTCTCTCATAATCATATAGTGGTTTTGGGACGTTAAACCCCACATATCAATCAATCACTCTGTTTGCGTTCAACTCCAGCTTTCACCGTACTGCACCGTATTACCACTTTCTCTATGTTCCGAGCGGCAAATGCAATATGCCAACGGGCGCTTCGAAAGCTCGATTTCTTCTGCGTCGGAGCCAAGAGGCGTACAAAAGCACAAAAGCACGGAAGCGTGACCTGCTTGGACGGGGCGACGGAAAGCTACCTGAACCCGTGGATGGTTTTGTCGTGCCTCCACGCTGCCGACGTCACCGTTTGAGAGTCGGTTCGTTGGTCGGTAAAATAAACCGGGTGATCCAGGTGGTTCAATTCATTGTCGCTGTCGATAGCTTGAAAGTTGGCATGGCGCTAAATGAGAGCGGGCGCATTACAATGTAATCTGTCCTTCGATAATCGAATTCCACTCGGCGCAGTAGAATTCGCGCGGAAAGAAGATAGCAGCTACACCTTTATTCTCTTGGCACCACAACCACAAACAGTTTCTTTTTCTTTGTCCCTTTGTTTGTTCTACTGAGTACCGTGCATTAAGTACGCTTAAGCAGGACCTGTTCTATTTGGAATTGAGAACCCACAGCTCCAGGCTTCCTACGTACGACGCAGATAGAGAGATGGATAATGAAGTAAGGTAAGATAGGCAGCGCCGGGGGAGGGTTAGCGGAAGAATTGAACATGTGTAGCCCCATGTGTAGTTCCAGGTAGTGCTCTCAATCCTGCTCATGTCGTTCTTGTGTAGGTCCTGGAGTATACTCCTAAATCATGCGCTTATTGCAGCTCCGCTGTACCGTGAAAATAGAGGAAGTGCGTAGCAAAGGAAACCCAGCGATACCCCTTGGAAATCGTGCATTGCCGAGCTGGTGGCACCCTCTCTGGGAGTCTGCAGACCTCCCTGGGTTATGGTGTGGGAATATATCCGTGTCAAGATACGTCGCAGTTATCACCAAGCTATACGGTCCCAAATGACTCGCAAATGCGCTCGATATCCGCTAAACTCGTGAAGACCACCTGCGGCATACGGGCTCACGTGCTGTGAATCTTGCGGGAGAAGTGGCATAATCCAAAACAAC